CCGGTTTTGGCTCCGACTTTGTTCGGTTTCAGTTTTTCGACTTGTCCGGTTGTGTAGTGTGTTTTGTTTTTGAAATCCGATCTTGTTTCTTTTGTTCCAATCCGTCAGATCCTCTCTGATTTCTTCATTATTTGAGGAGTAATATCTTTGTCGCTTTTTCTCTTGTTCCAGACGCATGAGTAATGAACAAAGACTACATCAGATGTTGGGTGTTGTCGGCGATGAAGCTTCCTAGGTGGGGATGATCTCAGAGTGCTATTACTGGTTGATTTGGTGTTGACGGTTTGTAGCAGTGATTTCGAGATCGGTGGAGGGCCGAGGAGGTGCATCGCTGAGCTGATTAGCGGCAGCTGATTGGTTTTGGTGATTGCTGGCAACGATTGACGGCGGCGGTTGATGATCGACTCTTCTAGAATTCTAGGTTTTAAATTTGGCCTGTTAATTGTTGTAACTTCTTCTGGGCATTGCCTTTCTGTTCCAGTCCATTAGGCTTTTTCAATAACATGTGGTTGACAAAAAAAAATTTCTAACAATTGCTTGTTTTTGAATAATCTTGCTGTGGAATAGTCTAAAATCTCAACACATGCTAACATAAGCTTAATAATATCCACTAATACTAACGTGCACTCAAGCTAACATACACGCTAATATAGTCAGAAGTAAGTTTTGACAAAAGAATTTGGAATATTATTTCCTTTATTTCTCTTAGTTATGGTGACTAAAGTAAAACAAATGATATGGGTTGAATAGTGATGTTGCGGTTGTGGATTTGTCAACTGATTTGTGCAAAGTGTAGATTTACCAAAAGCGTTCTAGTGCCATTTGTTCTCCTATTCTATGGTGTTGCATGCGACTTCACTTGGATTTTTAATTCTGGAAACATGGGTATATTATGGTTTCTCAGGGATTGTATCGAGATAATAACAAAGTCAAAGTTTTTCAAAATGACTATGATACAAAAGCTTTGGTATCAGATGCTCGATATTTCACAACAGTTGTCAGAAGCACTGGGTTTTATCATACGGTGTGCAATATGGAGATTTAGCCAAGAAATGCTATCCATACACATAACTTGCGGAATATGAAGGAAAATAATGGATTTAGTGACCGTTAGCAAATAAAGTTTGTTTACGGAAAGCATTGTCAAATTCACTTTTTTGATGTATTTTTCTCACTAAATGACGCATATCTATTTATGTAATAATTTGTTTTATGACAGTTATGTATATTGACTTTGTAAATTTGATATGAAATCAGTGGAATTTTTAGTAGAAAAAAAAAACATGCTGATTTGTAGCCATTATTTTGTGACCCTTAAAAGCAAATTTGGTATTTTTTCACCAACCATTATAGGCATAGAAATTCATCTGGTTGTGTTGTTGGGATTAGCAAGTATTTACAAGAACAAACTCTTTGATTCACCAGAGAGCAGATGATATTAACTCAAGTCTCAGAGAAATTAGTCAACATTATAAGCCATAAAATCCAACACAAACCAAAGCCAATGTGTTTCCAGTTCTCATAATTTCAATCTTCATTATATCATTCTCAGACCAACTCCTTCCATTGATTCATAGCACAACAACACAAATATGCTCAATTATAAAACATCTAATTCTACATTTGGAATCAACATACACACATTTACTTTACAACAATCGGCTATTTAACACTTCTAGGACCTGAAACCAATCTTATAACTACACAACTGGTAATCTTGCTGATTAGAAATTGCAAAACCTGATCTGCTCAAGAAACTAAAAATCTCTTCCACAATACTAAACGAAAACCATCAAGAACGCTCAACATCCCCAGTGTAAAAGCTTCTAAATTTGGTCCACAAACACTCAATTTCAATCATCAATCTAACTCAAGACTTGATATAATATATAGATCTCAATAATTTGGGTTACATAACATATATAAGATTTCTAATTT